TAGCACAAAAAATCTTAAAACCCTAAATAGTAGGATCCTTATTATAAGGACCCCCATTAGGGTAACCCCCTATTTTCGGAAACCCCCATTTGTTCAACGCTTGCAGGGCGAGGAACTCCACTGGTGCACCCGGCTCCTGTACTGGATGGAGACGTGCGCCTCTGAAACCCTGGCATCCTCAGTTCTTCCAAGGCCCCCCTAAGTGTCCTTTAAATCAGGCCCCGTATATCTAACTAAGATGTAAGGCAAAATTGGGGGCTGCCATATTTTGTTCCATATTTCTCGGCTGCTGGGTTTAGAGCGTCTAGGTGAAAACTTGAGTTACCAGGATGAGGAAACGTATGGTCTATGTAGTAAACTATACAGACGCCGCTTATGGCACCGTCATGGCAGCGTACACCACATCTTCTTGATCAGGGCCAAGCATCCACTGATGCCCCCGTCCATGCAGAAATCGCCTTGGCACGCTGTTCCGCCTCATTGGCATCGGCTGAACTGGTCAGCGCTGGCGCTGTTCGGGCAGCTGCGCGTGCCGTTGGCAGCCATGGTTCAGCAGCTGGGTCACCCGTTGGTGCTAACCTGGGCTCTTACTAAGAACCGCAATTTGGGGTTACCACCCGCTACAATTCACTAAGAAGCTTTCCTAACAAGGTTTATCAAGCTTTCATTTAAAGCAGAACCAGGTAACTGCAGCTGCTGCAGCAGCTTCTGTGTGAGCGAAGCTCCGAGAAACGACTCCTGCTCCAAAACTGGATCATGCAGCCTCCAAGACGGTTCTTGCACAGACCATCCACTCCGGTAGCCACAGAGAATCCTGCATTGTTTGAGCATTTTCTGCCGAAGCCTGCGGCGTTGTATGTTCAAGCCTCGGGATGGCAATGCGCCGAAGTCACTGAGAATTTCCTGGGCTGGGCCAGGCGACCCATCTGAAGCACTATGATCAAGCAGCAGAAACGAAAACCAAAACCAAAACCCCATCTTCATAGCATTCGTATAGCATCTAAAGAAGTGTGTGCATATCATATATATATATATAACTATAGTTATAAAGAGCCGGACGTATGTATATAGGTATATGTATAGCTAGACTTATGACACAGTCTAGTACGAATTCATACAGTATGAACACCACCTCTTCTTCTATCCATACCTCAGCGTCCACTGTCAGCACCTGCGCTTGGGCCTCTGGTTCCTCCAAGAGCAGGCAAATCCTGGCCAGCATCGCTGGAACTGTCTGAGCAGCTCCTCTAGAGGACTCCTCGGCTGTAAAAGGTGTATAGAATATAGGGTTTCATTGAAGGTGCTATGAGGGTGAACTATAGGAGCCTTCATAACAGAACAGGGGAAGGGAGGGCGGGGTGTGGGATATATGATAGACATAAGTAGATATGGACTATAAGGGGATAGTATTGCTACAGTGCTACAGTAATACTAGTCATTCCGCCCAGACCCGTACATTGTCCGGGAGCCAGTTTCAAGCTAGCTCCCTAACATGATGTGGTTGATGACGATTTAGGGTTTAGGGTTTAGGGCGCTGCTTGTGTATGCGGCTTCGTTTTCCCGGTATTCGTCGTTTTAGTCCTCGTCCTAGCAGCAAGTCATTTGGTGTAGTAGCAGTCCAGTACATGTACCGGTGGTTGTCGCTGCCGGCTCCATCAGTGCATTAGTACTCCGTTCATGCTGCTGATGGTGATGAATATGATGATGAGGAGGATGATGATGAGGATGATGATCCGGAGGGTGATGATGATGATGATGACGACAGCTCGCAGAACCCGTGATCGTAAGTTTGTGGTTCCATTAACATGCCAGTTCACCTCCATGGACAAAGGCTGAGGCCCTGAAGAACTTAGACTGAAACGAACATCCGTTCAACTCTCGAATTACTGCAAACAAGAACACGAACAGAAAACGCCACATGGTAAATCCGAATACAAAAAACAACTGTAGTCCCCTGACCTGTACAACCCCAAAAGACCCTGCAACACTCTGAAACCCTTATAAACTCTTAGAATACGCTGTAAGCCCCTGTGAACCCAGTAGAGAACTACCCTAGACCCTAAACCCTAAACCCTGAACCCTAAACTCCTCTGAAGATGCATCCGGACTCCATCTCGCATGCGGAGATTGTCGATGCACATGCTGCAAAGAGCTCAGACCCATAAGTTTGTAGCAACTGCCCCTGGCCAAAGAGCCACAGTGCCTTGTCAAACACAAGCTTGGGCTCACGGAGCGCAGGGTTTTCACAAGCTTTAGGTTTCAGGCTTTAGTATCTGGGCTTTAGGGATTTAGCGTCTATGGTTCAGGGTTTAGCAACGCAAAAATATATCAAGAAACTCTCATCCATACTGGACTTCTCACCCCAAATATGACCTACCCTAAACCTCAAACCCCAAACCCTAAACCCTAAACCCTAAACCCTAAACCCTAAACCCCAAACCCCAGAGGGCCAAAGTGCATGTTCCCAGGCTCTTCCTCGTGCGCATGCCGCAATGCTGACTGACTGGGTGATGGAGCTCTGCCTAGGCCGTAGAGTAAGGGTTTAGGGTTTAGGGTTTAGGGTTTAGGGAGTAACCCACCGGGAAAAGTAGACACTTCTTTGGGATCGTTATACTTTAATAGGAACGCAGAAACAAAAGAGCAAAACAGGCTACTACTGAACATCCTGGCTGCGGCAGTGCAAGAGAGTTCATCTCGGACAGCAAGTGGAGGGCCTCTGTCCACCTGCAACATTTCCTGGGTTGTGGTTTTGGGGGCCCTGAAAAGTATTTCTGAATAGGGACCTTTATAAGCACCATAAGGGAAATTTTCAAGTTTCCCAAATGGCCACCTAGTTTCTCGCAGGCACTGATGGCTGCATTGCACGTGATTGTGCTCGGCTCTAAGCCCAGGTCTCGGGCCTTGCCCAGGAGTTGAAGCGCTGCCTGCCATTGCCCGGCTTTCTCACATGCACCTGGGTTCTTGCTAAGGAGTTTTAACTTAAGTTACCATAACAGAGATCTATAGTCAATAATAAAGTTTCCTTGTTTCTGTATCTTATAACGTACCCTAAAAATTCTAAACTCTAAACCGCTGAACCCTAAACCTATTATGGTAACTTAGATTAAACCCTAAACCCCTAAACCCTAAACCTATTCTGGTAACTTGAACTAAATCCCTTTACAATTCCCTAACCCCCCAGTTACCTACTGTACAGGGCCTTCGGGGCTCTAGTACCTTATATAGTAGGTACCTGCGGGGTTAGGGATTACCCAGGCACTGATCGCCGAGCTCAGGGACATGATGTTTGTCCGCAGCCGCAGCTGCAGGGCCTCGCCCAGCAGCTGAATCCTGGGTAGGGTTTAAGGGTTTAGGGTTTAGGGTTTAGGGTAAGGCTCCATGTATCCATGTAGGAGATACTTAGGCCTTAAAGTACCTATATAGGGACCCCTTTAAGGCCTAAGTATCTACTATAAAGGTACATGGAGCCTTTGGGTTAAGTACCTACGTAGACCCCAAAGAACCTACATTTTCAAGGACCTATATAAGGAAATCATAATAAGGAACCCTAAACACGGAGGTTCTTAAGGGTCCAGGTAACTAATCACATGTTACAATAATGAGGGTTCAGGTTTGTTTTGCGAGGGATAAGGGCTTAGGGTTAGAAGTTACAAAAATAAGGAAACTTCAGCATTTAGTATTGTTCCCCGGTATGGATTCCTAGATTACATTCCTTAACAAGAACCCAGGATCGCATCTAGCCAGCACTGTGCCTGGCCACATGCCGAAATCGTCGAAGTGTAGCTTACAACGTCCGGCATTATCAGAAGCAGCCGCATGCTTGGCAACATGGACACTGCCACTTCCCACTGCAGGCCTTGCTCGCAAGCAGCGATGACGGCATTAAAGGTGACCTGGTTTGGTGCCAACTGCATGTTGGGCATCTCCTCATGGAGGTGTAGAGCCAACTCCCACAACCGGCCCGAAGCTGCTGCAGAAATGGCACTTCCGAAACTGACGACGTCTGCACGGCGAGCCTCCATAAGTGCCTCAAAGAGTGAGAGAGCATGCTCCCAGAGCTGATGGTTGGTGCAGACCGTCATGGCCGAACTGATAGCCACCCTATCCACGCGAGCAGCTCCTCTCGCAGTCCCCTGGTCGAGGCCGAATGCATGAATATTCTCCAAGAGCTGCAAAGAATGCATCCAGGCATCCGATGCCTCTTCACCGGAGTAAAGAGCAATGGCCGCGGTGAGGGCCATCGGATCCAACTCCACAGCGCGATGGCGCATCGTGTGCAGTAGGGATGTGCCGTAGCCCCAAGCCGTGCCCAAGGCCAGCGACGATAGCCCTGCATTGACGCCGACCTTCGCCGCCTTTCCAAAGAAGCTCTCAGCTGTGTGAGAGAAATGCAGCATCGCCGCTGGCCACGAGGCCCTCTTGATCCGAAGCGTCGCAGTGACCCCGTCGCTCTCCAAGCCCCTCCAGCTCAGTCCGTCTAGGAGCTGCAAAGCCTGGGGCCACACATCAGGGTCTCCTTGCCCACTGCATGCATCTGCAGCTGAGTTCCAGGTGACGGCGTCACTTCTCACGGACTGCTTCTGAGCAGCTCGGAGAAAATCCAGAGTGCTGGCCCAATTCATCTCTTCGGAGCCGGCAGCTTTGATGCGAGTGTTGCAAGTAACAACAGTTGCCTCTAAGCCTAGACAGTGTATCTCTTCGGCCAGAAGGATGGCTGCCCTCCATTGCCTTCCTTTGGAGCAGCTGGCTGCGCAGGCGTTGAAGAGGACGACTGGCGGTGAAGAAGTCTGGCGCAAGGCTGCCAGCGACTGCTGCCAGCAAGCTGCGCGAGTGCTTGCTTGGACGGCTGCTAAGGCCTTGCTAGGGTTTGTCAACCAAAGAGCAGTAGCGGCAGGAATAGCCACAGCAGTAGTAATTAGAAGGAGTAGTAACACGAGTAGTAGTAATTAGTAGTATATAATATTTCGTTTTAGTAGTTGTCGTCGTCGTCGTAGTGGTAAAGCTCGGAGTGGTGGCGCGTGATGTTCATGATAGCTTTAAGGCAGAGGTCATGACAGAGGCAGCAGCAGCAGCAGCAGCAGCAGCAGCTGCTGCTGCTGCTGCTGCTGCTGCTGCTGCTGCTGCTGCTCGTGTGTGCTTCTGAAGCCTGTTACTGTTACTGGATTGTTCGTTGTTGCCTGCATTTGTGGTATTCATGTTTGTATTGCGGTTCTCGTTGCTGAAACTGTGTTAGCTTTGTTCTTTGCTCTTGCCAATGCCGTCACCGCTCTAGCGGTGGTCACTGTGATTCTCGTCACAGTCCTAATTAGTCATGGTCGTGGTGGTACTAGCGCGGTCGTGATCGCAGGCGCAGTCGTCCTAGTCCTCGAAATAAACTTTCTGTTGCTTGTTGGCGGCTTTGCGGATGGTGGTCTTGCTGCTTGCGCTGCCGCCCTATAGTTCGAATGACCACGACAGCTTGCTTCTTGCGAGAAGATGTACATATAATCGGTGATGTGCCATGACTATTGTGGAAACAACAGCGCTAGCAACGGCCACAATACTTGCCTCAAGGCAAGAGAACAAATAGAACTCTCGATGGCGACAGCGTAGGCAGTATCAACAGTAATGATTCTGGTAACTTCTCACAGCAGTCACAACAAACGGCCGTTGAAATAGGCATGACCTGATAGTTCCGGCAACAAGAAAAACAACAGCCTTGACAATCAGTCATGAGACGAAGAAATGGTAAAAAGAAGACAACCCAAAACCCCAAAACCCTAAACCCCCCCCCCCCCTAAACCCCAAAAGTTGATAGCGAAAACAGGAGGTTTAGGGAACTTTAGGGTTCAGGGTTTAGGGTTTAGGGTCAGCCGCCAGCCCGCCTCCTTGGGACTCAGAGGCCGCAAAACTCTTTGACTCTGCGCTCGAGACATGGCGCCACTCCAGACACCGGGCCATGGCGGGGAGGGGGGGGTCTGAAGCTTGGGGTTGAGGGTTTAGGGTTTAGGGTTTAGGGTTTAGAGTTTAGAGTTTAGGGTTTAGGGTTTAGGGTTTAGGGTTTAGGGTTGAGGGTTTAGGGTTTGAGGGCTTAGGGTTGAGGGTTGCGCAGTAGGGCTCCCGATGTAAACTCAAAAGGACATATAGGCTCATATCTACGGCTTAGCTTTTCGTGCTTGAATTTTCAAAGCAATTGCAACCAAGAAAACCACCTCAGAGGAACTCTGGTCAAAGAACATTAGGGTTTAGGGTTTAGGGTGTAGAACCCAGACGGAGTGCTTGGAGCACTACGGCTTAGGGGTTTAGGGTGGGGGAGGGGGCACTACGGTTTAGGGGTTAGGGCCGGTCAGGGTTTAGGGCTTAGGGCTTAGAATCCCACATGCAAGCCACGCGTGGAGGGGTTCAGGGGCATACGAAATTTAGAGTCCTGTAAGCCCCCAGCCTATGCCGGAAACCGGAAGCCCCAAACCGAAGCCCCAAACCCTAAACCAAAACCCAAAACCAAACCCTAAACCCTAAACCAAACCCTAAACCCTAAACCCTAAACCCCAAATCCCCCACAACAACACGAGTCCAGATCCAGGGCTCAGGGCTTAGCTGTGGGGCGACAGGGATTCGAGGCTTGGCTTGAGGATGTATTACAGGCGGTTTAAGATCGAACTCGCCGGTTAGGGTTTAGGGTTTAGGGTTTAGGGTTTAGGGTTGGGGGGGTTCCTTTAAAGGGTTCCTGAAAGGTTCTATAAGGGCTACCATAAGGGTTTAGGGTGTAGGGGCCTCAATAATTAGAATAGGGCTTTGGGGCCCGTTATACTATACTTGAATTAGGGAACCCCCAAAATAACATATTATTCAGAGCGTACCCCGGGGATGAGGGAACCGAATCAGTTTCAGTTTCAGTTCAGTTTCAGTCTTAGTTTCACTTCGAGTGGTAGACACGACCAGAAGTACTATTACACGACTACTACTACTACTACTACTACTACTACTACCACTACTACTAGTACTACTACTACTACTACTACTACTACTACTACTACTAGTACTGCTAGAGACGGACTACTACTACTGATACTACTACTACTACTACTACCACCACTACTACTACTACTACTACTACTACTACTACTACTCCTACTCCTACTCCTGCTGCTGCTGCTACTACTACTACTACTACTACTACTACTACTACTACTACTACTACTACTGCTACTACTACGATACTACTACTGCTACTGCTATTGCTACTGCTACTAGTACAATAACAACTAC